TAGTATCTTTGATTTTCAGTCTACACTTTTTGCACACCAAATATTCATAGCTCTTGCTTGTGTTGTCACTCGAGGCGTAGAGTGTCTTCTTTTTTTGTTTGTTGCCACTTTAGAAATTTGTGGTACAGACGAGATAAATTCAAAGAGAGGGCACTCAGCAGGGGGAGCCGTCTAGAAGGTGAATATTTTCATGTTGTCTTTGTGGTTCTTGTGGCAAGCCCACATGCATCATGCTGTTTTCTGTAACCACAAATACAACATTAATGCACAATAGATGTTAAAAATACAAAAAAAAAAAAACCTCTATGTGACACCTAAATCAATATATGCATAATTTCACGCGCAGGGATTTAAGACATTGGTTTAAGTGAGGCCGGAGAGTGCGCCGAACAAATTTTCTGCCCTGCTCATATTTTGGCCACAGTGTGTATTTGCACCATGGAACGTTTCTCGCTGCAGCTTTTACTGCACTTCAGCTGTGTAACCCCGGCAGAGGCAACATGCACCCCAGACTCAACCGTGAATCAAGCTATTGGCTCTCTTTAGTTAATACTGTGAAGGAGTGTATCACAAATTATAATGGGCCTCAAGTGCTATTGGACTGGGTAAATGTGAGGATCCATTCTGCAGGCTTTGGGGCCGAATAGCTGAAAAGGGCATGTTTATTTTCTTCTCAGTGTACTTGTACTGTTCTCCATCTGTAGTGCAATGTCTATTGATTTTCTCCAGCCCCCTCTATCAGTCAGGCTTTAATAAGACAACACATGTCGCCTTTAAAAGAAACATATTAGAATGTTAATGGATCACTCCACAGACCTGTTTGCCTCTTTGCTGTGGTTTTGTGTGTGTGTGTGTGTGTGTGTGTGTGTGTGTGTTTGTGTGTGTTTTTGTGAACACGCACGCACGATTGTGTTTTTGTGTACGTGTGTGCCACCACATTATCATTAAAACAGTCGAAGACAACATTCATCTTGATGGTTTTAAGGAGTAAAGGGGGTGGAAAGCAAGGAAAATGGGACACTAGTGGGAAGAAGAGATAAGGATGGAGAGAGTAGTAGAAAGTGAAGAAGAAACCTCCTCGTGCTAAGTGGATTCATCTTCTGTCTTATTGCTCCTGCAGGGACCAATTTATCTTCATTTAGGTTTTTGGCACCAACCCCAATCCAGACCAGCCGCCTAAAGAAAACACATAAACTCAACGTGGCGCTTTGGCCCGCGTGACTTATTTCTTGGGCTTGACCAGAATTGTTTTTTTAAAGGCTGATTAGATCCTTTGAGGTTTCTGACAATCGAATGAATATCTTTACGTTCAACCAGTTGTGTTAACAAAATAAGAAATACTAATTGTTGCCCCAAAGCTGTAGTTGTAAACAGGTAAACAAAGCCTTATTTGGGGGTTTTATTGAACGTATTCTGACACAATCTCTTACAACCCACACGAATAATATTAGATTATATACCAGCTACTACCCAAAAGGTAGACATTTGAATCTAAGAAATGTAGGCATTTTGTTGTCAATGAGCTAAAATAAAGTTGTGATTGTGTGAAAATGTAATGTTTTTGGTCACAATATAAAAAATAATTTGTGTCCTTACCATCAAAATTGTTTGTATTGTTGCATGGGTCACGCTCATAATTGGATGGGTCAGGTCTATTCAAGATGTAGCTCATATACACAGAAAAATCATCAAAAGATAACCATTGCAGATATGCAAGTAGCATAGAAATACTTGTTTTAACCCCTGTTTCTAAGAGATTAAAATGCACTAGTTATTGTGTTTGTTTATCGCGTTTGCCGTTCAGGGTGATGCTACATGGTTCATATTACATTTTGTCGGTGTTTACCTCTTTCAGGAGTTTTAGGCTGCTGCCCTCTGTGTCTTTATTGAGCTTTGGCTCAGACCACAATACCTTCTCCATTCAGCAGGGTATAAATTAACATTGATTTTAGTGAAGCATCATGGCCTTGGTGTCCAAATAACTAACAATAACCTTCACAGTATGAGTGGGTGGAGACCCGGCGGAGGCAGCAAATAAAGACAGAGGAACAGAGCTGCATTCTGCTCTACATCATATATAATCGCTGATTAAAGCAAAGTCTTTTGCAGAATATTTTGCCAATATTTGCAGATATTACAGCCCAGTCATTCACTATGATGCAGATACATTTTTTCTAAATAACACAAAAAAACATCAATTATCTCTGTCACTTTCTCCGTTCAACCTGTTGATTTAATCCTGTAGTAATTACATTACACTATATGAAAAAAACTGCCACTGTATACTGTGAATTCTCTCTCACCTTCTACCCCTCTTCCCCTCCTCTCCTTGTCCACCGTATGTAACTTTCAAAATCACATGCTGCACTATGCTGGCTTCACCGTATGGAGCTCAGCAGTCTGATGCTTATCAATTGTTCTGCTGCTAGAAAAGGAAAGGATGGGGTGGTGGGGTGGCGAGAGGAGGCTACATAAGGGGAGGGAGACGGATGTCAGAAATCAGAGGGACCCCTGCTGCCATTTCTGGATGCAGCATTGGCTGCGCAGTGAGAGCAGATAAGGAAAGAGAGAGCGTCAGAGTTGTGTCTTTCTGGCTGTGCAGTCTGGTCTAGGTGCCCTACTGACAGCCCAAAGATTGATGGATAAAGCTGTGTATCGCACATAACATCAATTCTGTCCCACTTTCTCTTTCATTCTGAGTCTCACTCCCTCATCACTCCTCCCTTCCCCTCTCTCTCCTTCTCTCTCTCTCCCCCTCCCTCTCTTCCTCCTGCCGCTGCTCCAGGTCCCTCGCTGGTCCCTCTCTTCCGTATTAGTTTCCAAAAGGCATCTCTAATGCTGCCAGAGAGCGCGCTGTGAGGCAGCAAGAAAGCAAGGCGAGCGGATTGCTATCTTCGTGACAGCTTTTCCACTTGGAAGGCTGCGTGTGAGCCAGGGAACTGGACTGGACTGTGGTGTTTCGTGGAGGAGGTGGGAGGGGAGGTGGAGGAAGGAGAACTGGGGGGCAAGCTGGACAGATGGAGGACGGCACCCAACAACTGGGACACTGCATGGTTGACATGAAAGAGCTGAACGCCAACCCTGAAGGACTGACCGCTGCCGGTGAGTTGACTGCACTGTGTTGCCTGTCTGTCTCTTAACCTGTCTCCTCTAGCTCTCTCCTCTGTCTTCCTCATTCAGTCAAACTCCTAAACACCTTGTCTGCTATTAGAATTGATTCCTGCTCCTGTACAGTGTCCCACATTTGCTATAAATGCGTGTCTCAATGATGCTTGGCTTTTGCATATTTTCCCTCTATTTGTGTTTGCAGCTGTTATCTCTCTCTTTCAAACACACATACAGAGAGAGAGAGAGAGAGAGAGAGAGAGAGAGAGAGAGAGAGAGAGAGTGTGTGTGTGTGCGCGTGTGTGTTTGAGAGAGAGAGAGAGAGAGAGAGGGAGAGATTTTTTCAAATGCACGATGATCAATAATCACTGAATGACTGAATTCATTGGAGCGTCTTTGTGTTGTTAATGACTCAGGGTCACATTGTTGCAGTTATTACAAAAGAACATTAATTATACATATAATTAAAATGGGTTTCCAGCTGAGTTGTGAAAATTATTAGATTTTTTTGTTGATGCACAATGACTGCACTCTTTTGATATTGGAGTACTAACAATTATTCAGAGCAATGTCATGTTGATAATGACAAATTATTCTAGAGAATTGATTTTGAAACTTCCGAGCTGCCTTTCCACAGGTTTCCAATTAAGCGGTAGGTTCTTGCAGTGCGGTTGAATTTAAAATCACAAACTTTTTGTCTTAGAATGTGGTCAATCATGTTACCTAATTTGGGGCAACATTGAATTTGTTTTAGTGGCTCTGCAGAGTTTGAAGTATGGAAAACACTGTTTGTTGACATGTCCAGAAATTCTCATGTGTGTTTGTACATAGGTTCCTGTGTGTACATTTGTGTGTGTGCGCGCGCTTTGCTTGTATTTTCTTTCTGTACTGCAGTCATATTCCATAGAGCCTGAATGTGTTGTCACTAATGAGCACTGGCAGAGGCAAACTAGATGTCTCAGTGCCCAACACAACAGGAGAACGCTAAAGAGATTAGCCGTATCAGTGATGCCACAAAGCCTGCTCTCCAAGTTTAATACCTTTGCTCACCAAAAGGACAGACACTGCATGCAGCGACACTAAGCCTTTGCATTGGCATGCAAGCTCAACACCATCATCTTCCCCATGGGGATAAGTAAATGGAGGCGTACAAAGAGGAATGAAAGTGCAATTCACGATGCCTTCTCTCCTTTGCCTCGAACCACACAAATACAAGCTGAACCAGCTTACATCCACAGTTACAGACATGCTAACACACGCACACACACACACACACACACACACACACATAAGGAAATAACATGTGCACAACAGTGCATCCTCACATAAATATACATATGCACAGACATTATCATGCAGGCACGCTCGCACACAGCCACACACATGCTCATTCTTTTACAGTTATGACCTACTATTACTATAAAATCACACAGTCACAGCTTGGAGATGACATCTGACAGGTGTGGGAGTAAAACAGTATTGACAAACACCTCACGGTACTTCTGTTTTGTTTTTCTCAAGCATCCTGGGAGACAAAAGGGAAGAGCAAAGCACACAATTACCATGTTTGCCACAAAAGACAAGTTGACAACCCCGCATTATCAGTCGCAAGGAGAAATAGTTTCTTGACAGGTGCTGTTCAGAAGTTATTAAGGTGGGACTGAATTGGCATTTAACTCCCCACCATAAGGTGTAAAATGTGTACCTATTAACTATTTACAACAATTTTCCCGTGCGCATGTGTGTTTTCAAAGAAAGCTGCAATGTAATTGATGGCGTTTTTCAATGCACAATGTTTGACATCAGGAGGCGAAATGTCTCACTCCGTGCCCTTGTTAACCCTATGCGCTACATCTGCCATCGACGTGACAGTCAGGACCTCCTCAGCGCACCCACCTGATTCTCAACACTTCATTAAACGCTGGCAACAAAACCATCTGTCCCCGCTCAATCTCCCAGGGCAGTAATGTGACGATAACTCACTCTCCCATTCAGCACCACTTGTCCTAATAGGATGCCTGTTTGTGCAAACATCAATCGCGTTAGCGGTATGTTAGCCTGGCTAATGAATCATCAGAAAGGATGTGCAGGTGTTGTTTTAGGCAATTTAAACTACAGATGCGGCGGAGGGTTAGATTGGACAATGGGAGTCAGAAGAAAAAAACGATTTCAGTGTGCGTGTGATGTAGAGTCGGTTTTTGGACTGGTTTATTGAGCGATGGACTGTTATAGCTCACAAATATAACATCCCATGGTGAGCCACATAAGTGAATTATTAATATCATCTCTAAATCCAAAGTAAATGATATTCAAAATATAAAAAGGATTTGTTGATAGACATAGGCCCTGACATGTAATATCTATTCATGAAGAGGATAAGCAGGAGTGATTAAGAATGTGTGCTGTACCCACTGCGAGGGGGTTTATCAAAGCTCTTTTTGGAAATTGCCTGATATTCTTAGCTGAGCTGGAGCCACATGATGGGGACCGGAGCAGCGACATGCTGTATTTTGGAGCTTTTCCGCAATTTTTTTTTTTTGTGGAGTCAGGAATAAGGAGGAATCCCATGTGAAATCTTTGTGCGCACTCCCCCACAGTTCCTACCTCCATCCCTCCTCAGAGTATCTGCTATAAGCTAGTCAGTGGTTATCACACTGCGCAGTGGGTGAGGAAGCAGGGCAATGAGAAGGGATGAGGGTTAAATGATCATCTGCAAGATGGACAATTCAAGTTCCTGTACATTAATTAACTTTGTCATTCTGGAGAAATCACCTAGTCTGCACACATCCAAAGAAACGACTCTCTCCTCTCCCTTCAGCGTGGCTTTTCCCCACTCATACCACGGGTGATAGATTGGAGGTACCGTGGGGCTGTGCTGTTATTTCTAGAGCCAGATGAAACTGCAGTATAGCGGCCGGGCACACCTCATTTGCTTTGGTCCCCTCTGGGAGTTACATCTGCATGTACCGCCTGCATGCCTGCCACCTTGCTGAGCTTATTACCATATTCATAATGCCAGCGGATATCGATTTTAAATACCACACCTGTTCCACTTTTCTTCACATACTTATCCACACATTGGAGCTGGATCACCTGCCAGTTTCATGTGCTAAGGGAGATGCGATTGAGACAGGTGCTTGACCTTTCCCCGTGTGATGGGTAATTATTGTAATTAGACTTTGTTTTGGTCAGCCTAGTTCTCACCATGAGGTTAATGACATGTGGTGTGTTCGCTGCTCAAAGACAATAATGGTGTCACAGTGTACATAACAGGTGTCCTGTCCTCCAGTTGTGTACGCATCATTTCTCCCTGACTTTTAATAAATGTGGATATTGAGTTTCCAGAGCTGCAATATTTCATTTCATGTATTCGTTCTCAAAGATGTAACATACTGTAACCTGTGTTGCTTGTCTTATAATCAGTGCATCTGGCATGATCCTTCTTTAAATACTTGACACACGCACAAGCTGTGCTCTGAAATTCAGACATCCGTTAACTCCAACCCTTCTCCTGCTTCACTATCAAGCATATCTAGTTGCTTTGCCAAGTGTAGGCTATTCTCATGATCGGTATCCCCAACCCATATCAGACCCAGACTCAGCTTTACTCCTTATCTGTATTAAATTAATTCTGCAAAGGTATTTCCCACTGCTTTCTATCGCTACCACTAGATAGGTTGGTGTCTAACACAGATGGAGACCTCCAAAGTAACTGGGCCGTCCAAGTGACAGTCCCTTATGATGCCACCAGAGACAAGACCCAACAGCTGGCACTGTCTCAGCCCACCTAGCTAAAGGACTCTCTGTTGCCGCCACAAAACATCCAGGCTTATTAAAGTTTCATCAACACTCACAAGGAAGCCTTGGTGGTGATAACATGAGGAGACATGACCCCCGAGGAATGGGTTGAAGATGAAAGTAATGTGAAATCTAGATAGCGACACAGAAAGTTTATTTACGTACATAATTGGCCTACGTGTGTGTGTGTGGATAAACGTGCACTTGATTAATTAGAAGGTTACACTACTTGTATGCATAACAGATATTGCGTTAAGTTTGCATAAGCCAGTTTATTCAAATGTAGCCTATACTGACAGCAGCCGACAAGCTAAATTCACTGACACTTTCGAAAACACCAGCAAATTGAGATTTACTTTCAATTTTGTCAACACATTAGGGGCGGCTGTGGCTCAGGGGCAAGAGCGGGTCATCTTCTAGGTGCAAGCGGTTTGAGTGGTTGGAATACTAGAAAGGCACTATATAAATGCAACTCCTTATTTGCTGAATTTATATGCACTGCAAGTTGCTTGTGTTTATTGTCAAGAGCCCTGCATTTGGACTTTCTCATCCTTTTGTAGACTCTCAAGAGGACAAGGGGCAACGCTAACGAGTCCCGTAATTAAGTATGCTTCTCATTAATTAGCAATCCCTGTATTGTTTGTTTTCGAATTAATTATAAATTAAACATTCCAAAGAGTTTGATTGTAGTCAGAATTTGAAACAAACTCCAAAACTCCAATTTTTCAAAATCCTTTAATTAATTGACAAAGCAACTTGTGATTAATGATCTTAAAATTAATGACAATGTCTGAAATCCTAATTGAGAGTGATACTAGAAAATGAACATGTAATTTGATAGTCAGTTAATTCTGTATTCAATTAACTGATAATTCCAAGGAGAAGCACTGGATACTGTATAAAAAATATCCAACAATGTTCAAAACCAACTCGAACCTGATTCTAATTTTGACTTCTGCTATTGAATTAAATATATAATATTCCACCTAAAAATCTTTCAGAACATTGCTATGATCTACATGTATCCCTCCATGATGGAAACCACAGCACCAAGTCATGCAGTAAATCTGAGATGTTGTACAGAAACACCTCTGAACTTTCACGAACAGTTATGGAAACTAACTTTATCAACCCATGAGGGTTATAAGCATGTCTCTGGATCTTCTGTATTAGCATAACTGTGGTTATATTTCTTTCTTTGTGAATTGAAGATTCCAGGAGAACAACTGCTTAACAATTGCTTATTATACAGATGATAGAGGGTCAGTGGTTGGTGGTATTATTTTAGGACAGGCAGGTTTTATGTCTTCCCAACATGAAATATTGTCTTCTTCTTCTTCTTACCTTAACATTGCATCATTTTGTTGTGTTGTTTAGTCATATTTAAGTAGACTTGCTCTGAAGTGTGATGAAAGGCTTTACAAATACATTGATCCGGCTTGACGTAAAAGCTGCCAAGAAAGGGTGGTGACTGAAGTAATTATATAGCAAAGTAAATCATTTTTAGTAAAGGATCCTCATTATATAAAATGACTATTACCTAAAGTAGTGTGGCTCCCATACGCCAGTAAGCATCGAGTATCCATGGCCCATTAGTGGGGTTGATGAGCCTTAGAGGCCAATTGTGTCGTAGCACCCCAGGAAGAGGGGAGAATGGCATTTAGTGGTTTAGGGCTCCGCTATGTGTTGCGCCATCATGCAGGTGTTTCATCTGCTTGGTTTTTGAATGGTTGTGTGTCGCACTAGGAGAGTGATGGATGTGAGACGGAGCTGGGGACAGATGATACAAGCAGTCAGTCCTCTACTCATCATTATGGCAAAAGTCCCCAAGGACATTGGATACTTTGATTCTCTCGTTCTGACACTCTCAAAGAATGCAGTTTGTTTGTATATTCTAACATGAACAGTTTCACTTATCACTTTGGCATTTTTGGATCCTGTCATGCTCCTGACATTTTAAAATTGGTGAAAATGGATCAGAGTCCAGCCCTTTAGTCTACTTTAAAGTCTGTGTCTATGGGTGATGTGGTTATCCCTTTTTTATTTGAAATGGAAGAACACTTCTTCAGTCTGTTGTCAAAAAATAATCGGCAACAGTTTTGATAATACGGAAGGGAAACATGCTAACAATTAAGAGTTAACTGATAGCAAAAGCAAATACAAAAGTATTTTTGTAAATTGACTGTCTTCAGGTTTCGAATAAATTGCTTTATTGATTAATCATAAAGGTAACTGACAGGTTAATCTATGATTATAGTAATCATTAGTTTTAACCCCACATCGGGGGGCAACAGTCAAAGTTCTGATTCACTTTCTATGTGTGTTCTTTGTTTTATTATATTGTCCTAATGTTTGCTTTTTTTCCCACTCCCTCTCTTTCTCTCTTTCTCTCTCTCTCTCTCTCTTAGGTGTTTTTCTAACTCCCAAGCTGCCTCAGGTGGAGTTCAGCCTTGGTAAGTCCTGTGTTTACTCTGTGATTAAAGAATATTGCACACTTTTTTTGACATCCTTGTCAGCATATTAGATAAAGGACACATGGACTCACGTGCATGGTGTCACACTGATGCCGAATCTCTCTTCCCTGGTCCAGAAAACCGGCGAAGGTTTATGGCCGATCAGGCATCTTGGCTAAAATACATCCAATTGTAACTGTTGTGAACACACACCAACAAATAGACACGTGATGACAGTTGCGCTAATGCAGAAGTCATTCAGAATTAGTGGCATATCTGTCGACATCCTTGATTATTTTTCTCAATGCTGACACACACACCCCAAATGTGGTTAGAAGGGACAACAAAAAACAGGCATAGACAAAATTTAAGGCAGAACGGCAAGAGGATCCTTTTGAACTTTTCGTGGAGATGGTCTCATTCATATTTCATGCAACTGAGATGTTGGAATTCTATTTCTAGACATTTCATTGTGGCTCAGGTGAAGTTTCCTAAAGGGAAAATCCAAACAGGAATATTATTCCTGTGGTCTCTGAAAGAAGCGATTGACAGCATCAAAGACTGGTGTCTTGGCTCCCGTGTTTCCGTCTTCTGAGGGGTCTGCAACAAAGGCTTCCCACTGTTGCGTTCACACAATTAACAAAGAATGACCGAATACAGATATGGCCAGATATATAGCCGGGAATGGGGCTACAATTTCTTTTTCATCTTAATAGTATTAGGAGAGATAATTATTGCACCTTCTTAGTGTCACTTGATGACCTCCAGGCCTGGCCAGTGCTCAGTGTGTCTTATGACCATTAAAACACTTTTCAATGTGTTTAAAACTGCAATCGCATATTGATACCTCATGAACACCCCTGATAGTCCCATTGCCATTACATAGAGGGTAAAATTACAGCGAGTCATGAAGACATGTAATCAGAGTTCATTTATATAGAGACTGTGTGGGGCTCAATAGGAGTCGTTATTGTGAGAACATGCATACACTCTCAAGTGCACACAACTGGGTCTTTATGTGCACACATGGTAGATACAGGCGTATTCTACTCTAATGACACTGTAGGTTTAGCTTCTGCTCTTGAACAGAAAATGATATTTGAATGTAAAATATCCGTCATGGTAGAAAATACAGCTGACAGCTGGCACAGAGAATAACCGTATCCATCTTTAATTGCCCCGGTTGAATGTGTGCTCAATGTACAGTACATCTGTTTTATTGTGGGGGAGGGGGTTTGTATTATATGTGCATATTCTATTTTTTACATGTATTGATCTTGATAAAAAAGATATGCACTTTACTTTTAAGCTCTGGAAGGAGGCTACATGTTTAAATGCTCAGCATGTTTAAATGTGTTATTCTTTTCCAAGAAAAAGTAAATGGTGCTACTGTCGTTAGTACAAATAAGAATGGTAACCAAACAGTCATCCTACTGTGAATCACTATCCCCTAGCAATTATGAGGGCTCAGCAGCTGCTAGCTAGCCAGCTACCTACCGGTAGAAACTCCAGCTCCAAGCTAACTAAGTCAAACTTGAATCGTGAAACACATTTCATACCCAACCAGAGACTCCGTGTGGTTAAAATGAAGAATGTAATGTACACAGAAAATAAACAACCATTCAAGCAGACAGGAGTGAATCAGAACCTGAATCTGACAGCCCACACAAAGTCGATACTAAGTATTGAAAGGCAACAGAAAAAATATATATCTTGAGGCTGCTTTTGAAAGAAGCACTCAGAGAGAATCTAAAGTCCTCAATGAGGTTATTTGAGCAACTACAAAGCACAAAAAGCAAAGGCAGCTTCACTTGACCATCAGTATAGACCAGTGCCAGATGACTGAGAGATCTGGGCAATTTGTTTTGAGCATGTTGACACATTATGGAGGAAGGCCATTAATTGCTTCAAATATAAGTAAGAGAATTTTAAAATAAACCCTAGCGTGTACTGGAAGCCAATGCAGTGATTTGAGGAGAGGTTTAATGTACTGTGCTTCCTTTTTTAGTCCCTGTTAAAACTCCTTACCAACAGGGGACTGAGTGGAAGGTGTACATATTGATTGTTAATCCTGTGCACATGACCCTGTGTTTGTGTGTATAGGATTAGTGTGCCCAAATCCAAATTAACTTTTCAGCTAATTAACACCTTAATTACATCACTATAGACAAATATGGTATTTGGGGGAATAAGGTTGCTTTTAGATGGTAATAGAAAGCTCGCTCTAGAGCCACAGAAAAAATAAACGGCTACATTCAAAGTCTGACTGGTACTCATTATACTATTGTACTATTCATGTGTGAAATCAGTCGAGTGCCCCTTCAAAAGAAAGTCAGCGGTTCAAACAAAAGGTGTTGAGTTTGAAAGAAGTGGGTATTGTTAAGGATTTCAGTATTAAAAGCATTATTAGTAGGATTAAATAACACCCCAAGTGGTGAGTAGAAGTGTCACAATAATAATAATGTCAAAATAGGTTAAAAAGTCACAATATATTTACTTATGGAATGTATTATGTTTACAATATTCTTACTTGTAGAGGATATTATGTTACAGTATTTTACTCATTGAATGTATTAAACCATAGAAGTATAGTCACTAAAGGTATTAAAACACTGTATGAATAGTTTTGAGGGTCAGAAAGAGATCATTTTGAGTGAGTCTTTACAGAGGTGCAGCAGAGAACAGAGGGATGGACAACTGACCACCAGGACCAGAGGAGGAGTCCGGACGACTTCAACCAAACACTGAGATGATAACTGCCCCAAGCCAGGAGGGGCTATTGAATTTCGGCCAATCACAGAGGCTGATATTGGACATTTAAACTTTCGGAAAGAGACTTTTAAATATAGGCTTAGTTCCAGAGGGTTTTTGCCAGAGTTCGTGCCGTTACCACTCTGGGTAGTTTACCAGCTGGGCTGGGCTATTTAGTGGGCCTTGTGAGAACTCTGCCCTGGGGACATATTGATATCGATAGAGTAATTCAGTTTGCAACTGTTCTAGCTTCTCTTGTTTATTAAATACTTTTTGATTGTTAACCGGATCCAGTTCATTTTTGGTGCGACTGGAAAGTCCAGCGTTCTGGGTCTCCCCTGAAAACATCTAACCCTAACAGTATTAAAGGACCCATATATACGAGATTGGCTCTCAACATGGCAACGGCTGAGCCGGTGGCGAGCAGCTAACAGTGCAAACAACGGCAACAGTGCCGGCAGACTAGACAGTGTTTAAATGAGGGGGAACCGGAGGGTGGGTGCTACGCTTCCATGACAACGTCGTCAACTGGGACCGCCTTAGCAGCTATATCCGCCCTATGAGCTCATGGTAGAGCAGCGGCCGTGGGCTAGCCAGTGGGGCACTCTCACATGCACAAACATGCAATAATAATACGTGCGGCCGCCACAGCTACGTGAACAAAGAACGGAGAAGCTCGGAAAACAACACACACTGAGGGCCAGTGACCTCATTCTCTTCTCAGGTAGACATTACTCCACTATATCGTTATATAGCAAATAGTTGTTTGCTGCTTTATAAAGCATGCTCTGAATATTGATTTTATCGCCTTCAAGAAGACAAGGAGGGTTAAAGTAAAATTTGCTATCCAGTTGCATTCTGGGAAATGTAGGATCCAGCATTTTTGGAGCGTGACCCACAATACAAAAATCACAATGTCAGCATGATTCTTTTTTCAGTCTGTCCGCAATTATATTGAAGTGTAAGAGTAAATCATTGGAGTGCCTCTATTAAACAAATTCACAAACACATGCACTTATTCTGTCAGCAGAGCAGTCTGTGGTCTTTGCCGCAGTCAATGCAATATTTCAAAGTCACAGATTAAAGTTTAACAATATGACCAGTTATTAAATAGCAAACAATATAAAGCCCCTGAGCTTACATACTATACTATACTATAAACACAGACTGAGAAACATGTTCTCTTTACTTCTGCACAGGTACAATGTCGAATAGAGTGGACAGCTTCTTGTCAGGCTCATCACATGCTGGATTACACTACTGCAGCCAAGGATTTATTTTTCAAGCCAAAAATAATGAAATCTGAGTGTTTTAGTGTTTGCTTCTGTTTTGACACGGTGTCATACAAATCGAATGGGAAGAATCGTATCTAGCCAAGATGTAAGATATAAACAAACAAGCACACCGGATAAATTTAAATCTCCTGTATGTTATTGTTAGTTAAGATACGAACCGAGGCATTTGAAACGTTGACTCCTTTGCTTTAGTGGAGACAGTCGGTAGGAGAATTATTCTGTTTATATTTCAGCCGTTGGATGAGAAGAAATATTGAGTATATATTGAGTTAATCATTTATCTTGTTATGACTCCCAAGCGCTGTTCTGCTTCAAAAACGTGCAGCAGGGGAACGAACACACGTCTCTTTTTGGGGAGACTAGCCCCTCTCTGGCTACCTCACAATTTCAGCACTAACTTTTATGTAGCAGTACTGGGAAATAAAGAGACTCTAAAAGTCAATACACAACAAAATGTGCCTAATACAGGTATGTTGACAGTGTATATAGAGTTATGCATAATCACACACTATGTCACACTAGACTCTTTTTACATTTTAAATATCTTGTACACTTGTCTCTCCTTTTAAGTTTTTAGTTTTTAGTTGTTTTGTCAGTGTCAGTGTAAATGATGGACGTGACATGTTGACTATCAGGATAATTCTGTGCTGTGGATAACCACAGTAAAAGGGAAAGCTGACTTTTTATTCCTACAAAGACTCTTGCAGATCTCTTTTGTTCTTTCTCAAGTAATGGTCTTGGTTCTTGACAGTAGTTTTAAAAAGATTTTATGTGAAGTGAATTTATAATACTGTTAGAGCTGGAGTGTTACAAGACATTAGGTTTAAAAATACACTGTCGCTATTCAAAGAACGCCATGCATAAATGTTGCATAAATATCCAAAAGTAACAGATGCAAATTTTCCGTGAGTGTCAGCTTCACAAATACACTTCGTATTATCCACAATTCATTTT